ATCTTCTTGTTCTTCTTGTTGCCATCGAAGGAAAGGAGCTCAAAGCGCTGAGCGTACCATGATCGTACAGTTCGTCGTGGGACGCCCATTAGCTTCGCCACCTCTCGACCAGATAAGGTCTCAAGTAGGCCGATGGCTTCTAGCTTTGTTGAGATCGGATACGACGCGCGACTCATATTTCGATGTGCACGTAATTTTTTCAAAGCCAAGTTTTTCCCGCTGGCGCGAAGAATAAAAATTCCACCAATAAGAGAAGAGTATTTCGAATCTTGAGTATTATTGGATGAAATTTATTCTGATACTCAAAAATCTTCGGTGGGCGTTGCATTCCGTCCGTCCCAGTACTTCTATTTCCGTCTGGAGGTACCGTACTGTAGTTGATTTGTTAAGAGCATCTCCAACGGTGTTTTTATTTCTATTTCAATTCGAAGTTACGGATATAGAATAGAAATTCTTGCACTATCCTGAGGGTTTGTTGCTATTTCACGCGAAAATAGAAATTCTGCGAGTCGAAATTTCTAAAAAGTCCGGATAGTGTCAAAATAGCAACCGTAAAAACGAAGTTTGACTTTAACCTATGCTTTAGCAATAGGTTAGAATTAACCGTTGGAGATGCTCTAAGAGCATCTCCAACGGTTTAAGTGGGATCTTTTAGTTCCTCCATAATCAAATATTTCTGATTATCGGAATGTGCAGGTGCCCGAGAGACTTGAATTACCTGTTAGAGCATCTCCAACGGTAAATTCTAACCTATTGCTAAAGCATAGGTTAAAGTCAAACTTCGTTTTTACGGTTGCTATTTTGGCACTATCCGGACTTTTTAGAAATTTCGTCCCACAGAATTTCTATTTTCGCGTGATATAGCAACAAACCCTCCGGATAGAGCAAGAGTTTCTATTCTATATCCGTAACTTCGAATTGAAATAGAAATAAAAACGCCGTTGGAGATCTCTTATACTTAATAAATATTATGTATGGCAGAACTTGTTTGATCAACGAATAATTCCCACATACCATGATGTCCATTTTTACAGCCTAGTTCGATTTACACATAGCCAAATGAGTATGAGCACAAAACAATACTTAGTAATCGGGGTTAACTGTAAGTACATCTAGTAAATAAGATTGCTCATCACTGAGATGTAACTTAACCGCCCGAGAGGTTAACCCGGGAATAACGTTAGCATTGTGCTTCGTATGTAAACACAAAGTACTGGTTTATTTGTAAGAGTAACACTACCCTTTCTATCAGGGAATTACTCGGTAACTAGCTGACGAAATGACCTGTGAAAGTTTGGGACTGAACTTGAACGTTTCAGTAGAATTCCATTTATATAACATGAAGTTTGTATGCATTAAAGATCTCTGTCAGAAGTGTTTCACTGCTAAACAGAATGCTATATATTTAGCGGAATTGAGCCTTTGTATCTAATTTGACTTCTAAATTACATTACTTTTGTAATACTATATTTTCCATTTATTTTAAATATCCAAAAAAAGAGGTAATTTGTTGAATCTATCAATTGACATGTCGCAGAAGTTCCTGCTTAAACAAATCGTACTACGTACTTCGTAGTATTTGGGGATACGTTGGAGATGTACGTTCTAAGGGGCGAGCGAAAATGCCCATCTTGGGAGTGACATGTGCATCGGTCCGATCTTCAAGGCACATTACCTTGTATAAGTAGTTTCCAATCAAAGAGTAAGTGACACGTCCCATATTCATATTGCCTAATGTATTGTAGAAAGTCCACACTTCCATATAAGGGAATACATTTACTGTGTCCTTTCACGCTTATCAATCAGCAATCGGCCACCACGAACGCACTTCTTCGCTCTTCGTTCCGTCGCCGCTCGCTCCTGCTCCCTCTCTCCGTGTGCGAAGCATGTCGTCTACCTCAAACAATCCCCTTCTGGCTGACTGGTCCGTGCGACCGTTCTCCTTCCCGCCCTTCGAAGCGATCAAAGCGAGTCATTTCAAACCCGCGTTCGCGTCGAGCCAAGAGAAGCACCTCGAAGAACTCAAGCAAATCGCCAACAACCCCGAGGACCCTACCTTTGACAACACGATCAAGACCTTCGATCGTGCCGGTGCCCTGTTTCAAAGCGTCGCCGGCGTGTACTACAACCTCACCGCGTCATTTTGCCCTCCCGATCTCCAAGCCGTGCAAACTGAACTCACGGGGCCATTGGCTGAGCATCACGCCAAGGTGACGAACTTCCCCGGTCTGTTCGAACGCATTCAGCACGTGCACAGCCATCGGGCGTCGGGCGGGTACACCCCCGAGCAACTGCGTCTCGTGGAGCGATTTTACCTGGACTTTGTCCGCAAAGGCGCGCTCTTTGACAAGGAAACGCAAGACAAATACAACGCGATCGTCAAGGAACTCGCGGAATTGACGACCAAGTTCCATCAGCAAGTCACCACGGACGAAAGCGAAGTCACGGTGCCAGTGACTGTGGCCGAACTCGAATGCGTTCCCGCCGACATTGTCGCCGCCGCGCGCCAAGCTGCCGCGGACCGCAACTTGGACGGTCATGTGATCACCCTCGGTCGGTCCCTTGTGGAACCGTTCCTTACCTTCTGTCCCAACCGCGACGCGCGTGAACGCGTGTGGAAGGCATGGACGTCGCGCGGCGAGCTCTCTCCCGAGCGCGACAACCTGAGCTTGGCTGTTCGGATCCTCAAGCTTCGGTCGCAACAAGCCAAGTTGCACGGGTACAAGTCGTTTGCTGACTACCAGACCGTGGACACGATGGCGCAGACCCCGGAGAAGGTTTTGGAGCTGCTCAACCGCGTGTGGACCCCGGCCAAGACGGCGGCCAACAAGGAGCGCGATGTATTGTCTGCGTACGCCGTGTCTATCGGCGAAAGCGCCGAGATCCGCGCGTCCGACTGGCGCTTCTACTCGGAAAAGGTCCGCGCGGCCAAGTACGACCTGGACGACTCGATCGTGAAGCCGTACTTCAGCCTCGAGCGCATGGTAGAAGCCGTGTTTGATGTAGCCCACCGGTTGTACGGGCTTCGATTCGAGCTGCGCCCAGATCTGAAGGCGTACCACGCGGACGTGCCCGTGTACCAAGTCACGAACGACAGCGGCGACGTCGTGGCGCTGTTCCTCCACGACAGCTTTGCCCGCGCACACAAGAAAAGCGGTGCATGGATGAGCGAGTTCCGGTCGCAGAGCCGCAACATCGACGACGTCGGCACGGCCGAGATCCCGATTGTGATCAATAACACCAACTTCACCAAGGGCCACCCCACGACGCTGCTCTCGTTTAACGACTGCGTGACGTTGTTCCACGAGTTTGGCCACGGGCTGCACGGCATGCTGTCCAACTCGACGTACCGGCGCCTCGCGGGCACAAGAGTACTTAAGGACTTTCTCGAGCTACCATCCCAGCTCATGGAGCACTGGGTGCGCCAGCCCCAAGTGCTCGCAAAGCATGCGCGCCACTTTGAAACGAACGAGCCCATCCCGGCGGAGCTGCTGGCCAAGGTTATGGCCGCGCTCAAGTTCCAGCAGGGCTTTGCCACCGTTGAGTACACGGCGTGCGCGCTGGTCGACCAGGCGTTGCATGCGATCGAAGATGTGGACGGCCTTGACTTGACGGCGTTCGAAACAGCCACGTTGGACAAGCTCCAGATGCCCGCGGGTATCGTCATGCGCCACCGCATTCCCCATTTCGTCCACCTCTTTGCCACGTCTATGTACGCGTCGGGGTACTATGTGTACCTGTGGGCCGAGGTGTTGGATGCCGATGCGTTCGATGCGTTTGTCGAAGCCGGTGACATCTTTCATAAGGACACGGCCGACCGCGCCAAGAAGTTTATTTACTCGGCCGGCAACACCCGAGACCTCATGGAAGGCTACCGTCTCTTCCGTGGCCGCGACCCCAAGATCGAAGCCATGCTCATCAAGAACGGACTCGTCTACTAGTAGTTTTGTACTACCTAAATGAATACAGTATAACATTGCATTGCGACTGGGGAGGAAGTGAGCTACGAGGGTATGTAGCTAGCTGTTCTGACAGTGAGTTAATGTACAAATGCGACATTTCTCCGTTCCGTTAAGTACACTATTGTACTACTAGTAGTATTTATTAACACTGTTAAAATTAGCGTAGCTACGAGCTACACTGTACTTCACGGAAATTTTTATAGTTGCGCTGTGGAAAAGTTGCAGAGTAACAGCATAGCTGAGGTGTAGTAGCAGATCTTTTTCCAATTTCCCTTGAAATCCACTCAGAGCATAATTTACAACGGCATCCATGAACCAGTACGTCGCAGTAGCAGCACGGCCAACTTCTCACTTTGACCAAATGCTTCATCGATTTCCCCTTCCCCAAGTATGGAATAAATGTAGAATGCAACAATCTCATTGTACTGGTAGCTGCACGGCACGATGTGAAGTAGTACTTTGTACTAAACTGCCTCCTGCTTCTAAACGGAAATCGAATCTTCGTGACTCAGCTACATACTACATGCAACAAATATTAATACGTGGACATTCTGTGACGTAGTACAGTGTATGATTAACATTACTAGATATATGCAACTACAGTAAGGGGCATTGACTACCTACACACACACAGAGTGTGTGTTTGCAAGGGGTCGACGCGGTATCCAATTGCTCTGCACCCGGCAGAACTCTTTCCTTCCTACGGAAAGTCCATTGTCTTGATGAGCAGGGTCTTCCTTGTTGGCCGCCGCCCACTTGCGCAGAACGACAGGAATTTCGTCCACCAAATTCGCCGCAGGTTTCATGGACGATGCTTCAACGTCGAGTCCACGCCACTTCACCAAAACTTCGTGTTGACAATCCACGCTTGGCGCTTCGTCCAAGCGCTCCATGTGAAATCCTCCATCGCCAAATGCAATCTAAACCTCGAGGGCTTTGATCACCTCTCCACCAACTTCGTGGTATATCTTTAAGCGACACGAATGATCCAACGTGACTTCGTACGGTGGCACCAGCTCCTGAGTCTCGATCACACGATCTGTGATGACTCTGGTCACGTGGCATGCTTCACACCAATCCAGGGCCAATTGTCGGACCGTTCACAACTGATTTGAGAAGCGCACATTCGCCGACCGAAAAATCCGCAAACTTGGCTTGGGTTTTTCGGTCGTATCGCCCACGCACTTGCTGATGCAACTTGTCGCTTCGCACTGCGACGTTGTGGTGCATTTCTTGAATTGCCACTTGGTCTCCCGTCACAATGTGTCTGACAGGGGCATCGAAAATGTATGAGCTCGTTTGGCCGAACCTAATGGATGGGAACCATTTCTCGGTCAATGAACAGGTAGTGCAACCAAGCACGTACGAACGCTTCGACGTTCATGGAAAGCGTCTTCTACGCAAACGTTGCGGGCACCGATTTGGTCGTTGCATGGTTGCGACGGTGACCGCTGGCTGCTTGGTGAGCGATCACACAAATCCAATGCTGCAAGTCAACAGCACCGTCTGGGATCGAGATTTATCCGTCTTCTACTTGGTCATATTGGCGTTCGAGCCACTTGGGTTGAAGATATATACCAGATTACGATGATCCGTAAACAGACCGAAACCAGGTCGTACGACCAGGTAGTTGCGATTTTTGCACGACTCGACCACTGCATCGGGGCGGCGATGACAGAGCCGCACCGATGACAACAGAGATCGACTATGTTGGGGGAACGGATGGAGGGTGCAACACCGTGGCTAGCTCCAGTAGGGTCACGTCAGCGACAAGCGCGCTGCGGGGTAGGAGGGGCGAGTGATCATTACTCATCGCCTCAAACGTAGGATCAAGCGGGTTGGTAGTGGATGGGGGGAGGCGATCGGCAACCCGCCGATGAATCCAGGGTTGGCTCGCGTTGAGCCAAGTGACCTGGTGCACAGATTTAGCCTTCCAATCGATGCAAGGCTGGTGGGACTCCAGCCGATGACGAGAACACATCTCTCATCGAGATGGATAAGATAGAACGGTTCGACCGAGTCGAAACCGTCGAAGGTGATGGGAACGTCGACGACGATGCGTGGTTGAGACGCAGTGTGGACGTCGGCCATCTTGACGCGAACCCGATCGGAGGGGTCCGAAGGGGGTAAGTGGTTCAGGCGAGTCAAGGTGGAGCGGTTGGCGTAGTTGTTCGGTGCCCCACAATCGATTAAAGCAGAGAGCTTGGCTGGGAAGCTAGGCACGAGAAGTTCCAAACAAATCATTTTGTTGGCTTGTAGCCCAACACGTATCCGAAACTAGGTCTACAAGGTGTAAAACACGCGCCGCACACCTCCGGAGGACCTAGTGTGTCCCCAGTAGGTCGCCTTGCGCCTACTGGGAGCGACCTTTTCCCGCCGCACCCGAGCTCGGAGCGGAGCGGAAAAGCGAGCGCGAGGCACCGTGTCGTTCGCGATGGAATCGGCTAGAGGATCGCTCGGAGGACGACGTGAGAGGTTGTCTGGCGGAGCACGGGAAGGACCGTGTGTAGAGGGCGCGGTTGACGCTACACGGCGAGGAGCCGGGCAAGCGCAAGAGATGTGTCGAGTGCGACCGCAATTGAAAACGTGCGGATCGTCCGACACCTAGGCGAGCATGGAGTCATCCATATCCGCGGAGTCCGCGCACGTGTGTCTGAAGGACGAGGAACACGACTCCGAAAGCGCGATTCGGACGGCATCCTCAAAGGTTTGAGGGTAGGCGCGAAACACCTGTGTGTGCTCGGGGCCTTGGTTGTGTGTTTGAGACCGTCCATGAATGCGGTCACACGCAGGGGTTTGGGGAGTGATTCCTCATCAATACATTATCCGCTAAATAGTCAAGGATGAATTCCTGGAGGGAACGTTTCCCTTGTTTACACGCCAAATATTGCGAGCGATAACGAAAATTGCTGTTGAGCCGCAAGAACATTGCCTTCAGTTCGTTCTTGAAGGTCGCGAAGGACGGAAAATCTGTCAAGCGTTTGGAGAACGCCCAATCTTCCGCGCATCCCTTCAAGTACGACATCGCTAAAGCCACGCGGGTGGCTTGGTCTGAGATACCGAGGGCGTCAAAGGCAGTTTTGACTTGCAAAAGCCAGCGGAGAAGTTTGTCGGACTCCGCACCACTGAACTTGGCGACTTCCAACTTGATCGGCTTTAGGCGAGGAGCCGATGAGTTATCCGATGATTCTAGAGCGCTCGCGAGCCGAGCATTCTCATCTTGAGCGAGTCGGAGAGAGTCCTGTAGGGTGTGGCCATTGGCCGTCATGACGGTGGAGGACATAGTGTTGATCTACTGGGCGAACGTGGAGTGCTACCAAGTGTGAGCGTGCGTAGAGGAAGGCGTAGGAGATGGTAGAATCAAGAATGATTTGATAGCGTTAAAGCTCCTACGCTATCACTAAGCTATGCGCAACTAACCGTTGTTTGGTTGGTGTACACAGGGTGTCGTTCAAGTCCGTGGATGACACAATGAATCTCCCGGAGAACACCTTGGTATCTTCGAGAGGACACCTTGGACTGACGAGGTATCGACAAGTCATCCGGATAACAACCGGACGAGGGGCACGGTTACATGTGGTCCATGCGCCGATGTTGCTGCGTCAGTGGAAACCGGTCCCTATCCTCCAATGCTACGGCAGACGCTGGCTTGTCCAAGATGAGTGACCGCTGCGGCCGCTCATCTTGGATAAACCAGCATCCACCGCAGCATATTCTTCTTCGATATCGTGGAGTTTAGTTGTCTTTGCTAATCTGCACGACAATTACAGACTGTACATGTACCGGGACGTTGGCTACTTGCATGGCAACCCCTACTCAAAACATTGTAGAATAATCAGTTTCGCTATAAAGCTTTCGTAGTGCTCACTACAGGTAACGCGATGCGAACAGTATTAATCGATCCATTATTCAGTGACCTTTCCAGCCCCGCATTTCCAGCGTGGGGCAAATTGGGATGAGGACAGCTCCCCAAAACGGAATTTTCTCCAAAACAATGAACTGGCTCTATTTTAGGGTTAGGGACATCGATATTTGGGGATGCGTTGGAGCATCTCCAATGCGGGTCCCTATCCTAACGCTATAACTCAAAACTTCGGCTGTATCGTTACTTTACGCTACAGTTCGGATAATTTGGGACTTATCCGGTCAGTTATTAGGACGTCCGAGGCAAATCTGGCGAAATGGGGACCAAAACACCCGGATACATCCCCATATTATCCGTAACTCCAAAGGTACCACAATGTAACAGGTTTTGGGGATAGGGACATCGATATTTGGGGATACGGTGGAGATGCTTTTAGTCACGAGCTTTTCGTCGCCCTTCTCACCGTGACGTAACGTAACGCATTCCGCGTCATCCCATCTTCAGTGTTCTCACCAATCAGCGTTCACCTCTTGCACGGTTTCTGCTAGCTTGTTCTCCATAATTTCACTTTTGGTTTTCCCCTATTGTGCTCAAGTGATTTGTCCTATGTCGGACACTCTGCGCCTCTAGTGCTACCTCTCCTCTCGTACCCACGACGCTTCCGTCCATTTCCTATATCGTGACAGGTTATGAGCCCAACCATGTCAATCACTCCCTACGCTGGTGTCCTCTTGGACAACACGGCACAAGTCTTCGTTTCGTGGACGACCATCCAGCTCAAGGATGCCGCCACTGGCAATGGCCACTTCTCTTACTATACCATTGAAGACTACACCCCCTCGGAAGTCGACTACGAAGCGACCCTGACGAGTACCAGAGCCGACTTGGAAAGCCATCTCAACCAAATCTGACTCCGAGAAGCGGGCGTGGCGAACAAGTCAACGACGAAGTTCATCGAAACAACGATGGTTACTTGCGGCATCAGCGGCATCCACCCTCACTCCTACTCAACGCAAGCTTGGCCCATCTAGCATGTCAAAGCCTTCTGTGTGCCTCCTTCTTCTACTGCGGATCGGGCACCCATATCCTCCTCACTCAGTGCAACAACTTCCGTGAGGATTATCGCCACACCAAGATCCGTCCGGGCGTACCGAAGAAAGTCATCGATACTCACAACAGACCATCATCACGTCGAATCATGGACGATCATCAACTATACCATGGAAAGACCTACCATCGCGATGACGGTGATGATGATGACAGTGGAGACGAACATCAAAAACATGCACGAGTCCGATCCCCTGTACGCCAGCGTGAGCCGACACCTCGACATGACAGCCAACGATCCCCAGCACGCAAAATCCAACACACCAACAACCCGTGACGATCAACTCACATCTCCTACAACACCTACTTCGACCCCCCTCTCGATTAAAGCTCTTTCTCCTGCTCAACATCACCTCGTCGACAGCTATCACACTTCCTGTGCCATTCTTCATCATCTGGTCGATTACGAACACGCTCTCGACGTCACTCATCCTCACTTCACCAACGACGTCGCTCACCCTCCCGTCGACATCATTTACCATCACGCTCTCGTTTACTTTCCTACCATCAACGTCGTTCACGCACCCCTTTCATGCAGCACCAACGTCCTCGATCTCGACATAACTCTCCAACACCAACACATTCCTTGCCACTGCTCCTACTTCTGCTTCTACTCCATCCTGCCAACCTCCCTCCCATGCTCCAACCCTAACTCCATCTGGACCCAATTCCAAACGCCATCGAACATCACCTCCAATTAGCTTTCAGCCTACTGATTCCACGCGACCACGCACAACCCTATAAACCTCCACTCAACGAACTATTACCGTGCCATACGTCCCTCAACCTCCCCTACCTCACTTTCGCATCCATCGCGACCCTAGCACTACAGCCAATGAAGCTCCTTCCCCTGGTATGCCTTTTCGCCGACTCTGCCACTTTTTTGGCTTCGTCTTCCCCGGCGCCGTCACGTCTTGGCAATTGAGGACTGCCGCCTCGTGGAGCTTCTACCGGCTTCGCTGCTGGGGAAGGTTTAGACTCGTCTTCGAGTCCCACGTATAGCTGGTGGCCAGCTGCAAAGGTCCACAGCCAGTTAACGTAACGAAATACGTCGCTCTTCAACGCCTTGTTCCGCGGCAAGTGCAGCTGCTCGTGGATCACTGTCTTCAGCGATTCTGGCTTGATCGATTCCGTCACGACTTCGATGACCATCTCGCCTTTTTGATGGAATACCCACTCCTGATGGTCCTGTTCCAACGAGCGCATCAACTCGTCCAACATATGACCGACTCGGGACTCCGCGTCCAAGATCTTCGTATTGAAACGAATCGCTTGCTGCATACGTTGCTTCAAAACGCCAGGTCTTGAGGGTCTTCCTCAAACGCTGACTTGAACCATGCGACCCACTCTTCGTTCGTGACGGAATTGTGGTCGCGGTTGAAATCGAACAGGGCAATCCGGTGCTTCGAAAACGGGTCCATGCAGGCACCCACGGGCATCGCGAACGGACGCGATCCATTGCACTGCAGAGCGTTGATCTGCCCCAGATACTTATGGTACTCGCGCATAAAAGCGCGTCTTTCGGCCTTGGTCGAGCTTGAAAATGTCGGCGGCTGCGGGATCGCCGGCGCGTTTCAAACTTGGGGCACCGTACGGCCGTAACCGCCATCGCTACCCATATCCGTAACACCACAAACACCCGACGGGTCGTTGTCGGCTGTCAACGGCACTGAAGCGCCATCTGCTTCAGTCGTTGGTGGAGCGGCAGCTGGTGTTCCTCGGGTTGTGACAGGGGTGTAAAATCCACCACGTGGCGGTTGCCACTCGTCGATAGCTGGTGGCTATTGTCGTTGGGGAGATCTGAACGGGTTCTCCACGGTCCGTCGTGCGACGCATCCTCGCGGCTCCTCGATCCGGTCACGCGACCGCAATGGTTCTTCGGCGTTCCTTGGTGTTTCCTCGTCGGATGAATGTTCTCGTACCATAGAGGATTCTATACTGTACTTTGAAGTATATAATACACGAGAGACTACACTGCCTTACGAAATTTCTCGAAAGTCTGCATAGTTAATTCAAATGACTGACATACAATACACTTTACAGCAAACACAAACGTATTGTAAAAATTTACATTACATAAAGTAGCGCACACTAGGTTGACCCATTACTTTAGCGACACGTGTGACAATCTCATAACATTAACAAAGACCCCTATATATTACCAGTTAACCACTTCGAAATAAATCAAACAAAATTCGATTATTAATAGTACTCTTGATCATAGGGACGTACATACCATTAGTATGTATCTTTTCAATCACAATTATGAACAAAAGTAATTTACGTAAACTGTATCTAGTATACTTCGTACTCCTTATCTTTGGTTTCATCGTCGTAATCACTACCTCCTCCGTTGCTTTCATCTCACATCATGACACTCACTAAACTACCGCGAGAAGATCTATCGCCATTCATGTACGGTTGGACCAGCATTGACACTTTGTCGGGGATCAGTCGTTTTCGCCGCTTGGTGAAAATTGAAGTATTAAATACTCCACATCCTTTCCGCCGCTTCTTGGGAAGTCGGGACGCTGAACAGAATTTGATCGACCACATACAGAGCTGGGAACTTGGTCGATCCGACTTGGTGCGCATACGTCATGGATGTCACACACTCCTCGATAAACGAGCGAGCCTTCGTCAACGGGTTCTTCATTGCGTCAACAAACCCGGCGATCTCCCCAAGCACCAGATGTAGATGGTGGTTGATTTGCTTCTTTCCACGATATACTCCACCAGTATGCGGCTGTTGTCGTAAAGATGATCTTCAAACATTTCTTCTCCAGCTCGGGCGGCTGTACCATGGCTTCAGTATTAATGAACGACGGATGAATACACGGTACACGTCCGACAGGCAGCATGAATCACTTTTCAACTTGCCAATAATGGTGCACGTTGGACGCAACAACACAACCAACGCCTCAAGATTTCCCCAGAAATGGCGTCCTCCACGATGCGGCTGAACTCGGTTTCCTTCTGGTGGGCGGAAGTGGAGCCTTTGATGTCCTTGAACACCGTGGAAACAACTAGTTGGGCAAGAACGCCCCGGTTCTCCAGCACACAGACTAAGCAGTTGTACTTTGTGTTCCATCGAGTTTGCAGAACAGTTCACAGGGCACGTTTGGTTGTGAATTTCCCATCGACATACATGTGGTGTTGGATGCGCTCGAGTCGCTTGGCAACGCGTTCCGGTCCTTGATGAACGAAGTATCATAGCGGGTACTGTCGAGGGTGGTGGCGTATGGTTCGAGCTTACATGAGTATATGACATCCATTATTTTGCGAATGAGCTTTGAGCAGATACGAAATTGTTGACACAGAACATACTATTGTAGGGGTCATTGGGAAAGTACACCACTTCATGCGTTCATAACTTTGCCCCATGAAGTCCGATTATTGTGAAAAATATGATAAAAAAACTTGAAATAAAACGTGAAAACTACTTCATCACGAGCAAATGTCGAAGAACAAAGGCTCAGTTTCAAACTTGGCCATGAAAACCATTGATATTTTTTGAACTAGCCTGAATGGGGTAGGGTAAAAACAACCAACTTCTATTGGTTTAAATTGGATCGGAGACGTCAAAACGTATTGACAAATATTAATGTATGGAGTAAAACCTAATATTACTTTCACAGGACTAATTCAAGAGGTCGGCTTCCGCATAGCTGGCGGGGTGACTTCGTTTTTTTTACATAACCTTTCCGTTGATGATGCTAAATTTTCGGTTTGATGTGCTAATAGTAAATAGGGAGAAAATGATGCGCTGCTCACCACACGATATTTCGATATTATATTACACAAAAGCTATCACGTGTACCTTCCCAAATGGCCCCTACAATAGTACCAAAACATCGGTCAATTTGGCACTGGTCTCAGTTCAAAATAGTCAAAAGTGATGGAATTATGTCGCGAAACCCAGCTTGGACGTTCGACAGCCGTATGTGAACACAGTTTAATTACGTTTTTATAGTTATGTGTGGGTTTAGGCAACATTCTATATTATAACGCACTCGAAATTGATTACGTTTTTCGTCAAAATGCTGTTTATATTCCATGGAGTGCAACCTCGTTAGTAACACGGTATTTTTTACATGATTGCCTTGAGGGCTGTCAAGAGGACGAGGAAAGCGTAGCACTTGAGGAAGGGGGCGAGGGCACGAGGTACACTTGCGTGGTCGGGGGCAAAACTAAAAGTGACTTAACAAACTGACTTTAACTCTCCGGATACGATCCGGATGTCTGAACCCAGCGAAGAAGGCCAAAGCAGACAGGCCAAAGTGTCTCTCTTGACAAGGGCTACGCAGTGCAGAGCCAAAGATTCTCCATATAATGGCGATCACAATACAGTATACTACAACTTCTACGATTTAATACATCGACATGACAACGTAAAAGGGTTTGGTAGATTTGATGACGAAACACTGATTCCGCACACAAACCTTTGTATACAATTCACATTAAGGGCCAGAACTTTTCGTCACAAATTTCCCGAGTGGGCATTTGACCAATTGAGTCGGTGTGCAACGCACTCACTCGGGGAATTGGTCAGGTGCACCGCCACCGCCATGCCGCCGCCAAATTAGTCTGAAACATGCAACGATATTTTTTGTCGACAACAGCTAAACTTTATTATGGTTGGGTGAGACTATTCTAAAAATACATTTGATTGGCTAAAACATAATTGCCCTGTCTACGCAATTCGCTACACGTCAATATTAATCAATACTCGAGTATACGTATAACACTACTTTTGTGTTTTTCACTCGTTTTGGCTATTCTCACCATAAACCTGGGTGATTGTTACACCGACCCCAGTGTATTAGATTAGATAATCCGTTCTGTGATTTAGGATGTCACGTTTCGTTACAGAATTGTAATTATAGGGAGGTCGTTTATGCAACTCACTCGCTTTTGCACATTTGAAAAGTACAAATCGAAGTTATATCTGCTATTCTCGGGACCAAACTGCACAATTCACTGGTAATCATGAACAACTTTTGATATTGCAAATGACACACAGCGCGGACATGCGCCGGAGTTCTACCGTACAGCGATGTACGGTAACCTTGTTAGTAACACGGTATTTTTTACATAAAGTATTGCCTTGTGGGCTGGCTATGCAGTGCGGAGCCAAAGATTCTCCATGGAATGTGCGATCATAATATACTACAACAACTACGCCTCAATACATCGACATGACGACGTAAAAAGGTTTGGGGGTTTCCATTTTTTGGCGCATCTGAATAACTATCCGGATACTTGACTTTGGGTCACTGCCATTTCATTGCCCAACAAAGTTCATGGTCCCAAGGCCAACGACAACAAAGCGATTCCGCTGGCGTCAAGTTGGGGCTTACACACTACGGTACGTTGTCTCTTACAACATGTAAATGATGTTGAGTGTTGCGTTAATAGAGACGTTTAGCAAGTGCGAAATGTGAGTAGTTTACATACTTTGTACTTCGTTCGATTTTATCGATGTCTGAAGTTGGAAGTTTAAAGAATTCAGATTTAGCAAGTCTGAAAAGTAAATGCCGACACACCAAGCCAACACCATCCATTACAGTATTCCTTCTCCTGTTCTTAGTCTGTGCCTACCGGTATGACTTCATTGCGCGCAATTCAACGAGAGACACATAAGGGCGTGTAGAATTGGATTTGTGTATCATGTGCGACGTTATGAAACGATAGTCATCGAACGCTTTGGACTGTAGGGACTCGGACTACAGCTCAGCGGCCCTAATGCCCGCTGCTTTCGAAGTTTGAGGATCTTGAGTCAAGATTCTCGCTCTGTTTGGCCGTCAAGTATCGTGGCGACCAAACATAGGTTTACGTAGTCAGAACCGAGCTCGCCGCCCGTCGTCCATGCCTTGGCATAGGTGATCAGGCGGCAATCATCGGCGGCTTGGTGCGCGGCGGCGGGGAGTATACTGTGATGTACTTCCCTGAGCTACAAACTCAGACTAGCGTCCTGCATCACTGTACATACCCGCGCTTGTGCACTATCCTAACACTACATAGTCTTAACTACCTATGCTTCGGCTGAAGCGAGTCGGAGCATGTTGATGTGAGTGGAGCAAACCTCAATAGAGCAATTTGATTGGCTCGGAAAGTAGTCAGATGTCTGCGGACTTCGAGGCCAAAAGTGTGATGACTTCCTCACTTTTCAGACCTGTTTCCGAGCAAAGTCTGCAAGCTTCGAAGTTCGAATCGAAGTTTAAGTCTGGAAAGTCAAGATTTCGCACTAGCTAAAAGTCTCTAATGCTATCACTTGGTTGAATGCATAGATCATTCACATCGCCCGACGACAGCCGAACTCGGCGGTGCGTGCATGCTTCAATTTCCCAGTTCTATCCATGATTTGTGTCCTGCATGTAGAGGTACATGAATTCCCACAATGTCCTCAGTCCGTTTTGATGGTTGTATGTGTTTCATATTCGAACTAAGGGTTGTATTGTATGTTTTAGCCGCCACTTGTCCGTTTTGCAGCTTTATTCCTTTGTTCATGATTGCTTCTTTTCACATCAATTACTGTCGTATTTGTCGTTGATCTGAACCATGAAAAATGACGGAAAAGGGTGATATATTTGGTATAACTCAACGACAAAATACCCTCGTCGACCACTGGCCCCTTTGCTCTGATTGAATATAATACAGAATAAAATTTGAAAGTGATCGTTTCGCGCCGAGGGCCTCAGAAGTCATGCCACGCATCCGGAAAAAGCCCGTCACATTCACGGTCTCGAAGAAACTCGAAATCGTGAAAGAACACCTTCGACATGGCCCCAGTGTCTACGCTCTTGCCAAGAGACACGGGGTGCTAGGTAATCAAGTACTGCGTTGGGTCCAGTCGCATGAGAAGCTCAAGGCTGCGGTCCGTCGATCGCCATATGCCGCGACAATCAACCCTTCGCCCAGTTGCAAAACCCGCAGTGGAAAAGTGCATGTTGGAGTACTTCAACTATTTACGAGACTGACGTGGCCATCGGCACGAAAATGCTTGTCCTCAAAGCCATAACCTCGACCCAAAGGTTTTGCGACGACAGTTCCTGACATTCGACGCCCCATGCGCCAGGGTCAGAAGATGTCGGGGGAACTGACCGAGATTACAAGTGCCACAAGCAGTCATCGGCTGACGTCGATACCGATTTGGAAATTATTCCAGGTACGTAAATTACGTATGACTATATTTATTGCGTAGTATTGATTTACTGACTTGCTACTACGTAGTAATTGATTTACTGCTTTGTTACAGTACTATACTGCATGTATTTACTACTTCGAAGTAATATAATGTTATTTCCGTGCAATGTTAATAATATTTGTCTATCTTGTAGGTGGATTCACTTGCGTTCTCCAACCCCTCAATGTTGGAATCAACAAGCCTTTCAAGGACAATGTACGGCACCAATACATGATATGGGGGTCCAAAAACATGCCCGGCAACTCGGTTGTCCCGACGCCAAGTCGGGAGGTTGTACTGCAAAGGGTTTCAATTGCATGGAACGCGATGACTGAAACGACCGTGCTCAACGCTTGGTGCAAATGCGGTTATATTGCATCAGTTTAATCTATGATAATCCTCAATATGTTTGATCAAAACTGCCTTTGCAATGCCAAGGTTTTGGACGGACCTATCGCGCTTCGCTTTGCTTGGGGAGTTCCTGTAATCTTCCACCACAATAGCAGTCTTGTTGTTGTACTTTTCCTTGTGTTTGATCAATTGACGGGGCAAGAACCCCACATGACAGCGAACCTCGGCTTCCACAAGGCGAAAAGCCTTGATAGCGTACTCAATTTCATCAGGCACATCGCATCTGTACGCTGCTTCCACCTTGAAGATTAGCACATCACATTCAGATACAATGTCGCCACAAATCTCGTGTGAGGTGCACGAACGAGTGCCGTCACCACAGGACAATCCGAGAACGTTAACGCGATCAATGCCGCATCTTGAGGCAGACGAAATGGCTCCAACGACCCGCGCACAGTTTCGTCTCCGACGCCATCCTCAAAGGGTGCGAGGTTCGTCATAAAGAGTCGATACAGATGCGAGTTGTTTGCAACTTGCTGCTCAATCGTGCTGCACGAGTTTGGAAACTGGTAATTCGTATGGCGCAACTGGTGGGGACGTGTACCTTCTTGTAGACGTCTAATGACACGCTGTGGTTGGATGGGGCAGCACTTGGCGCACTCAACTGGAACGCATCGTCAACGGCATGGGCTCGATCACATTCAGATGCTTTAATGCCTCCAAATACAGCGGGTGATACGATAGTCTCCACCGTGGAGCCATATTGTTGACTGCAAATAGCCGCTTGTCAATTCGAGAAAATACCTAATTTTATGACGTATTCATCATTGACAACAAAAATATTGAAATTTTGAAATAAATACCTGGCAAATGCCGACACATGGAATCATCGACGACAGAAAATCGTAGCAGTTGCAGGTATGAAATGCTCCAGTGGGGCACAATTCGACGTGGTGGCGAGCCTCGGTGACGTCGAGCAATGCAACGTCCGACACGTACCACATGTCACCGTCACAGTGAACGAATGACCATTCACGCATGATGCTGTAACTAGCGCGCCACAGCTTTTCAACGTACGATGACCACTCAGCCTTGGCCATGATGGTAGCAACCAACTCACCCAGCGCATTGGTCTGATGTCGTGTGAACCGCCAGACGAGGTGTTCGAACAATTGAAATAAATTCAATTTTCGAAGTTCCTGCTTCTTGTGACCTACATATTTGTCAGGCATTTTTAATTGATTATTAATGATACCGTGCTCCTTTATCAGTGACTTCACGCTTTCTCCACGCTGTGTGGCAAGGCAGCTGCATGCGAATATCGATCCTAGCTGAAACTTGAGAATTGACCTTAATGTTACTATATAATTGTACCTGTATATGCGCGACAGACTTTACAACGGTGTGTCCAAATACTTTGAATACTTTTGCTAGCCCTGTCTGACTAGGCAAACGTAGCCAACGCGAAGGGGAGATTGCGGTCGCAGTAATCTGGTGTCATATTGTCGTATATCAATGCGAAGCACTCTCGCCTGTAGTCCGGTTCCAAGGGGCCAAGTCCGGAGCAGTTGGCCACGATTTCCTTTTCAAAGTGTTTCGTGCAGTGCACGTGGACCATGTTGCACTCAATGGCCACATCTATTGTATATTTGATAACTGTCTGTATAAATTCGTACAAAATGATCTTACTAGGGTACACACTTCGACAAGAAGTGAAAACTTCGACAATATGTAAGTACTTAGTACTAAGCGTACTTAACTAGGACACAATTGGAGGTGGTATTTATTGTAGTAAGGACACACCAACGGCGGATGGAAAGCAATAGTGAGGTGCCCGACGAGCGCAATGGAGACAAGCGACTCAACCTTGAAAGGGGAATGACACTTCACTCGTTCATGTTGAAATCAAAATATCAGACTCCGCCACCATGTCCACGCCAACCATTCTGGTGGTGGGGTCTGTCAACATCGAACCACCAGTGGTGGTCCTCCAATCACCCCTACACAGCTCAACTGTCGAGATCAGCAGTAGAAATAGTAATGATCCCCAGTCATGGTCTCTGGAGCCCCAGCAGTCATAACTACCGTTCCCCGACAAAGACCACTACCATCACTTTGACTAACGTGACGGATCAGTGATTTGCCGATTTTGAGCTCCATTCAATCAACCATATCTGGCGAAGTTCAAATTATCTCGACGTGAAAGTTGCAGTGCCGACTCACCTTTTTGAGCTGTATCTCATCCTCCGAATACAAATCAAGTATGAGAGTTTAAATCAGGGCAAAGAAAATGTGAAAGTTTGGTGCTCAAACAGGCGATCGGTGATTTGCCGAAATCTAAGACTTGATTTGAAACAGGCCAGCCCCTCTTTAAGTGGGGTGGTAGTGGTACTAACTGCTAGTCTAAGTGATTACCACCCACCACTGCCCCCCCCACCCCTACGCTCCAGAATAATGCCCAAAAACACTGCTACACTAGCGACTACGATTGCTGCACATGTGACCACCACATCACTCCATTGTATATTTTCCAGTACAACATAATGCACATGATTGGTTAAAATTGGAAAGCTCAAAAGCGCAAATTATATTTTGCACTAAGAGCGCTGATGTGAAGTTGTTTGACATAGGCATGACTCCACCGCTACTCATCGACCACCACAGGTGGTTCGATGACGACAGACCCCACCACTAGGATGGTTGGCGTGGACGTGGTGACGGGGTGTGCATGTGGTGATGGTCGGTAGTGGTCGATGTGGTGATAGTTAGAGCTGGCGTCGACATTGCACGGATTAGTTGTTCTTGTGGTTGACGCCCTGATTGATGTTCAATGTTTCAGTTATCTCTAAACACTCTGTTGACGTTGCCATCTGACACCAATGAAGCGATGATGTGCCGGCATGGGGTGCCTTGCTGGTCCATGTAGCCGCAACTGCAATCTCGCTTCGACATGATGACTCGCCTCAGGACCTTCAGCAAATACTTCGTCGAAAACACATTGACTATGTCGTCGCCAACAAGGTTCGTAGCATAATGTCCAACCAGTTGGAGCTGCTCATCGTACGCCTTCAGTGCTCCAGGAGATACTTTACAGCTTTCTTCAACCCACGTCTTTGCTCGATCGCTCACTTTCTAGAAGTCTTCGCGAATAAAATCCACAAACGCGCGAACAAATGAAAACGGCAACGTGTAGCATTAGCCAGCCGTTGACGCGCGAAGTGTTGTGCTCACTCTCCACAAAGTTCGTAGTGCGCCAACCATACAACATCGTCTCCCCGATGTACGTGAACATAGCCCACTTCACAGGGTCGATGTCAGCAACATACCATTGCACTTGAGCACCACGAGCATGCCAAGAACTGCCTGTGCGGACTCCTACTTGCTCGCTTGTAAGGGCCCTTTTATGTCCCAAATGAGGTTGTGGTGCTCTTGCCGGAACAGCGTGGGGAACTCGATGTTTATGGCTTGCATGGTGCTGACAACACTCGGGTGTTGGACAATTTGACGCACCGTGAGCATGGTGATGGATCTACAGTCGACATGGTCTGGGATGACGGAAGAAATATACCAAGGCGGTTAAGCCGCTTCGAGTGCATTATTGGATGTCTTGTACGCCGTCACGTGGAATGTACTGGGCGAACAAACAACCGTACCACTACGTGTTTGTTGTTTTGCTGACTTTCGAACGTACAGTAATCGACGAAGGCGCTTCCCGAGTGAAACTTCATTCCCCTTTCAAGGTTGAGTCGCTTGTCTCCATAGCGCTCGTCGGGGACCTCATTGTTGCTTTCCATCAGACGTTGGTTTGTCCTTACTACAATAAATACCACCTCCAATTTTGTCCTTGTTAAGTACGCCTAGTACTAAGTACTTACTCACGCATTATAGTGGTTTTGCAAGTGTCCATTCGCCGTCGCGTTCTGCTCCGAACCATGCTTTTTGTGTTAGATGCAGTTCCAACGGAATATGAAACATAGTTGTTTTGCAAGAATGCGTTCGCGTTCTGCTCACAAATATCCGTATAAGTAATGGGAAATTCATTCAAGGCAGGAAATCACTTTGTCAGCGATGGTGCTCACGCAGTGGGAGCTGTCCTTGCTTGCCCCCTTCGTAAAAACAACGACACAGCGACGTCGTTTCTTAGTGCTGTGTGCGTTAAGCTACGTTGAGCGCCCAGTTATCCCAGACATCCGGTACAATCTCAATGCGTTGTCCTATGCCAACGCACTGCTCGACTTTCGCTTCGACGTCATGGGAATCAAGAAGTTGGGCTATCTTCTTGGTCTCCCGGCTGTGGTGATTACTACTCAACGCTACTGTGCTTCCCTGGACGAAGCGATGTGCATTCTGCTCGGCCGTCTGGCATTTCCAACTCGGTTCCACACCATGACACAGACGCTTGGGCGTTCACGGGCTGCTTTGTGTGCAATTTTTCTCCATGTAATTGGCGAAATACTTGATCGGTGGAAATCGTTGATTTATTTCAACGATCGGCTCGTTCACGACAACATGGGTACCTACTGCAACGCCATTTTCGCCAAAGGTGCACCCTTGTCAAATGTCTACGGATTTATCAATGGAACCAAGGTCCAAACCTGCCCGATTTCGGCGAAGGGTGACGGCAGTAATTTGCAGCGTCAAGTGTACAGTGGACACAAGCGCATCCACTGCCTGAACTACTGCGGCCCCTGACGGCATTTGCATCCGCTTCTACGGCCCCGTCAATTCTGCGGATGAATGGTTTGTTGGAGTACCTCTCCCAGCGACCAAGTGTGTTCTCCGACTGCTTCATTTACGGGGACCCCGCGTATGGTATATCCCGACATCTTTTGTCGGGATTTAAAGGTGTGGACCTCTCGGGGAAGAAGCGAGAGTTCAACAAGTGGATGAGTCGCGTGCGCCAAGCTGTCGAATGGAACTTCATGATTATGAAGTCGTTGTGGGCCTTTATTACGTAAAAGAACCTATCGAAAATCCGGTTGTCCCCTGTGGCAAAAATTGTGTCCGTTTCAATGTTTTCGACCAACTGCCACTGCTGCCATTTTCGGGGCAATTAAATCAGCGACTACTTTGGGTTGGAGCCACCGCATCTGGAGCAGTATCTAAATATGTACGGAGTTTTTGATCTTTAATAAAACATTGTTTTACAGAATGCGTAGTAAATTTCGCGTTACTACTTTTTCATGGCTGCTAACATGGCAAGAATTGTTTCGTGTTGAAGCCGAGACTGCTGCGAGGCTAATTCGCGGTCTTTTTGGCGTTCCTCGAGTTCCTTGTCGTACTTACACTTTCGAAATTCCAGCTCATCATTGCTCAACTCCCGATCTGCCTTGGTATCCTCTTGCATGGCAGTAGTGATCTTCATGAAACGCCCACCAGCGCCCGATGCTTTTTCAAAGTCATCGTCGAGAGACTTCCGCTTACCCATCGTTTGGATTGCCTCGTTTCGAATGTACATTCCGTCAACTTCATTTTTCTCTTGGTCCGCCGCCACCCGCTCGTGGCGTGCTTTTTCTTGAAACTTGGAGTCGGTGTACGCTGTGAGGAGCTCGTCGAGGAGGAGAATCCTCTCATCATGGTCTTAACTGACACCCGACACCCTCGCTGACTCAGCGTTGTATTGCATGTGGCCGTCCATCAATGTCCCAAAGCGGTTCAGTGCCTTTTTTGGCGTCGAAAGACGGGCGTCCAAAGTCTTCATGTTCGGCAAGTTGGTTTGCGAGCGGACGCCCACGATTTCATTACCCCCCTTTTTTTCGCTTGGAATGGGCGGTCAGCATTCACCTGACGAAGTAGCATGACATCTTCTTTGTCGTTGAAGACGCGGCGGCGCTGAGGTGTCTCCATGTCAATCAAGAACTGCACCACCCGCCACTCAAATCTGACGTGTCAAGTGTGGCTGGAGGGTCGTGCAATTCTTGATTGGCCAAGAACTGCCAATCATATGTAGTTATCACACAGCAGACCGGACTGCTAGTCCGTGAGATGTGCACTTTAAGCGGATTGGCAATCAGATTTAAGAGTACGCGTTCGCATTCCATATGAGGTTTGACAGGTCGACTTTCGGTTTGGCAGCAAAGTGGAACGCGAACGCGAACGGACACTTGCAAAACCTCTCTATTGTCGAAGTTTTCACTTCTTGTCGAAGTTTTGCTCAGATACTCACATATTGGCGACTACCCAACAGGCAGCTTTTCTAGTCGTCGGTTCAATCCCCGGCGGCTTTGCCGGATTATTTCCGAATAGAATTATCCGTCCCTCCCCTGGGAAATCCGGATAACAAGGTCTGCATTCGAAGATGAGGACTGAACTTTGAAGAAGATCGGTCGAAGAACGACGTATGAATCCTCGAATCTTCGCGGAATTCAAAATTTGCGATCTTTGAGCAAGGATATCACCGTTAATAGTAACCCCATCCACTCTGATTTGAATGGATTTTGTTAGACCACACTATCAGCATATTGCTATATATAAATTCTTTGAAATGTAGATGGATGTAGGCTTTTGAATATGACATCCTAAACACGCATTCAGAGCAAAAAACGACGAATTCGTTGTTTTGGACTCCCCACCATTGGTTCAAATCAGCATTCGATTTGAATTGCAACATGGATCTCAGAACTATGTGCTGTGAAGAATATGCTGGCGCAATATCGCCATTCAAACGTCTCGGCTTGCAGATTTATCGTCCTTTCTACAAGGACATTCGGGATCTACAAATGGTATTCGCCATAATTGGATTTTATCTAGTAGTTCGACATTCTCTGTAGTATACGTGTAAGTACTAGCACGTTTTATTTTACTTCATTGAAAAATTGTATTCGATTTGTAACGTAAAATATGCATGATTGATATTGACATCACAACTATCCGGATAAGTCAGCAAGCGGTCAAGCATTTGGTTCTAAGGTTTGATCCGGTAAAACAGCATGCGAATCTGTGGAATACCATGTTTTCCTCATCTCCCCATGACCAGAACCCCCAGCTGCACGAGTCAGTGAAGAACTTCATGACCCATACGTGCACGCATGTGCAATACGACGACAATGGACAACCGATTCCAAGTACGGGGGCTTGCACCGACAAGACTGGCAAGTGCAAGAAAGGCTTTCCGCAGTCCCTGCAAGCCACCACAACCGAGGAGGTCGATGGTTATGCCAAGTACCGTCGCGACATGGCCGCAGACCAGTGTGTGCCACACTACCCCCTCCCAGGGCATATGCAACGGGACAAGATTGCGGGCCGTCAAAGTGTCAACCAAGTGCATCGAGGCAACTATCATGGGCGCCGCATTTGACAAAAAGCGAGTCTTCGTACCGAGCATCATCTTGGTCGACGAGGGCAGCCAATCCAACCTCCCTTTCCAGTTGAAGCGACGCCAGTTTCTAGTGAAGTTGGCATTTGCTATGACCATCGACAAGTCTCAGGGCCAAACGTTAAGTCGCGTGGGACTTATAGTGCCACACCCGGTGACCTCTCACGGAAAACTGTATATTTTCACCGTATCGTAGGTGGGATAACCTACTGTTTCCAGAAGCACATTGCCCTTCACATGAAGTGTCCCCGGACGGACATGTTGTTCGTAGTTTCATGCCACCCAACGCCGCGGTAGCATAGATTCCACCGTTCAAAGTGTGTTGGCGGACATGTTGTTCGTCACGTTCTTCAACACAAATATGTACAGGTCCGAAGCAAATCATCCTGCACATCAAGTTTCTACATTGTTTTTCCTCATGTGATGCCACACAACACGGCGATAGTTCGAAAATACTGCTACTTAAATGACGAACTACTTTGCGACGAGCTCCAAGTCCCAATGTCCCGCCGCCTGGCATTTTCAAAAGGGAGGTTATACAAATTCCAACGAAAACATGGCCTTACCTCCAAAATCCAGCACGGAGAGGCCGCATCAACACCGCCTGAGGCCCGTCGCCGTCGGGCGTCAAGATATCCTAAATACAACAAGTGGTTTCAGTCCACATGACGTGTACAATATGGATGAAACCTCCTTCTTTTACTGCCTCTCACCGCATCGATCGATTACCCGACACCGCGTACCTGGCACCAAGAAATCAAAGAAGCGTATAACGCTTGCACTTAACACGAACGCCGGTGAATCTGACGTTATAGACCCGTTGTTCATTGGCACCACGGTGCAGCCACGATGTTTCAACCGACAAACTGGCAAGGAACTGGGCTTTGACTATCATGCGAGCAAGAAAGCTTGGATGAATGGGAGCATTTTCAACACGTACCTGCATGCGTTGAACGACCGAATGGTCTCTGAGAACCGGAAGGTCTTGATGTTCGTGGACAACGCGCCACCCCACAAGCTTGAGGACGAAGCTCAGTTGACAAATGTGAGTATGAAAATGCTACCTCCCAACACGACTGCTTACCTTCAGCCGCAAGATGCGGGCATTATCGCATCGTTCAAGGCAAAGGTCAAACAGCGGCAACTTCAAAATGCCCCAGACCAAATCGAAGAGGTAATGTCAGGCGCCAGGACAAGTTGTATGAGGTACCTCTCATTGAGGCAATGGGATGGGCGAAAGATGCTTGGCGCTCTGTTGCGCCATCGACCGTCGCCAACTGCTGGAATCGAACTGGTATTCTCGACAATGACTTGGCTGCCTTTAGCGAGCACGTGGCAGCAAAGAGTGTTGAGTAGAGGTCGTTTTTACTGCTTGTCATGGTGTCGGGGGGAAATCAGTAATGCAATAACGTGACGGATCTGTGATTTGCCGAGTTGCACTACCCAATAGAATTCAAGAATTGATATTGGATAAAATAAAAGCCTGCAACAACTGGCACCTTCAAAATTTTATGGTGGGAATAGTATACAAACTTAAAGATGGGCTCGCCTGTTTCAAATCAAGTATAACCTGTAAAATATTATTACTGCGTACATATGATATTGCTCTATAAATCAATAATTATGTTTCGTCAAAGCCGTAAAATTCCCATACTGAATATTCAAGGTAAAATTTCGGCAAATCACCGATCGGCTGTATGAGCTCCATACTTTGACATTTTATTTGCCCTGATTTAAACTCTTACAAACGTCGCTAGATATGGTCAATTGATATGACTTGTTAATGGAATTCGCAAGGTGAGCCACCTTACTCCTTTTTAATATCCAATCAGAGTCTTCCCGAGTGAAACGTCATTCCCCTTTCAAGGTTGAGTCGCTTGTCTCCATTGCGCTCGTCGGGTACCTCACTGTTGCTTTCCATCCGCCGTTGGTGTGTCGTTACAAGTCAGCTTTTCTTACTGTTAACTTGTTGGTTCGATCCCCGGAAAGAGTTATCCGTCCTTCCCCTGGGGAATCCGGATAACTAGGGCTACTAGGACCGAACTTCGAAGAAGCTCGGTCGAAGCACGAGGTATGAAGCGTTGAGCGAAGTAAAAACCGAAGATTATACACCGCCCGTGGTCGTTACAATTGGCGAAGCGGTTCCACAACATGTGGTTCTAGTACCGGCCCAGGAATGTGACAGCATATTTTGGCCAAAAAGCCTGTCGAAAAAGTCAAGTAGTGAGAGTGGTTAGGGTGACTTTTCAAAAGCACACTGATCCGTACACTACAGTACTGTACTATACCTCTTGGACAATACCTGGAGAATTGTCGCACAACGCCACGTTTGAGGAATCCTCAAAATACCCTAAATAACACGATGAATGGCTGGGGTCCTGCAGCGAGCGCGTGGATAAGAGATAGCGCCATAAGACGCTGCAGCGGGAACCTGGTGACCCGAAGTAAACGTGCATAGTGTACTTCACGCCACTAACCTCCCGCAGCAGCGCTTTTGTGACAGTCAGCCTACACTACACGCTCCCATAGTTGTGTGCCCTTCCAATTGATCCTGCCTGGGTCTTATTTGGAGCTGTTTATACATGATATCTTGAACTTGTAATTACTACTCTGGTCCAAAATAGTTGTTAGGTAGTTTTTTCTATTGGCGGAATTTTTCTAAATATCACCCGTTTTGCGATGCGATTGGTGCATCAAAAAGCGCAAGATCTCTGCTTTGATTGGGTAGTTTACAAGCTTTCTAGAGCATTTTGGCTGTCGAGATATTGGGCGCCAAAGTTGGCGTGTCAAATGAGCCTAGTAGAAACATCTCGAAACATGATCATTACACGATTGTTCATCGCTCCAACACTGCACCCTCTACGACACTACCCTCACTATGCATGCATACCCGACCAAC